CAGTACAACATCTACCTCGAACCTGGCTATGGCAAGTTGATGCACTAGTATGCAATGAAGTTGTGAACATCTCCTCCATGTTGTAAAACGGAGGACCCTGTAGTGGTTCTCCTTGCCTTCCATGCGAGTCATGGGGGTTCACCCAGCCCCACGGGGGGGTGATAGTGATGCGAGCAAGGCCTGGAGTTGCCATTCTATACTCGTGGTTCATTCCGTTGATCCCACACTTGGGGATAGAAGGACGAGGCAGTCGAAAGAATCAAAGTCGTGGCGATTAAGGCGCATCTCGCCAACAGTTGGGTTCCACCCGCATTGGAGCTCTATCGAGCAGAGTAATGCCAAAGGGGTCCCAGCCTTACTGCGTCTTTCATGCTTTTGGCAAGCTGTTTCAGTTGCTCAAGTTCAGGCTAGTTTGGTAATTAGGTGATTTCCCTTGAATGATCCATGTCGGTGTTAGTGCTGTTTGTTTGCCCCTTTATGGGGTTTTTGTTGTTGTTAAACCCTGACCGAAACCTAAGGGTAGTCCGAGGACTCGTCTTCTTGCTCTTCACAAGCTGTAGAAAGTTGACAGTTTACAAGTCAACAGTTTGCACAAGCAGGGGGTGGCAGCAGGGACCAGAGTCTGCCAACAACGAAGACACTCTGGATTCCCTGGTGATGCATGGTCTGAACAACCATGTGTACCTGCCGGTGATAAAGTTCTCATCTATTACTATGCCGTACAGTTCCGGATTGTTGCTTTCCCACTAGTGCAGTGTAGTTATTTCTAGTCTAATGCAACCACCAGACCTTGGCGGATTCAGGACTACAGTGAGCACAGGGCAACATGAGCGGTGCAGTTGATTGATTCAACATGTACAATTTCAAGTGCTGATCAGTAAATTGCAGTTGTGCTTGTGCGGTTGCAACAGACATGTTCTTCTTCTGAGCGTTGTTGCGCACATGTTCACTTGCTGTACACATGTCCAATTTGCACAGTTGTGGTGAACATGTTTTCGAGTTGGAAAACCATTTGTGACACCCATATTGAAAACCACATGCACAAGCCCTGAGTTTACAGAAGCAGACTACAACCAGTACAACATCTACCTCGAACCTGTCTATGGCAAGTTGATGCACTAGTATGCAATGAAGTTGTGAACATCTCCTCCATGTTGTTGTTGTTGTTCTTGTTCTTGCTCTTGTTCTTGTTGCGGTTTGTTTGTTTGTTTGTTTGTTTGTTTGTTTGTTTGTTTGTTTGGTGTCGTTTGTTTGTTGTTAGTTGTTAGTTGTTGCTGTTGCTGTTGGTGGTGTTGTTGTTGTTGGTGGTGGTGGTGGTGGCGGCGGTGGCGGCGGCGGGGGCGGGGGCGGGGGCGGTGGCTGTTGTAGTTGGTGGTGTTGTTGTTGTTGTTGTTGCAGCAGCAATAGCAGTTGCAGTAGCAGTTGCAGCAATAATTAGTCGTTAGTAGTCAGTAGTCAGCTGCAGTAGGACTTGCGCCTGCGGACCAATCTCGTCCTGCTCTAGACCTGATGCTGGGATGCATGATGGATCTTTCCATGATGAGCCAAGTGTCACAACAAAAAGCAGATAGCCAACACAAATAATGGCAGGTGGAAGGACATCAGCCATGTAAAAGGGGCGTCTTTTTCAAACCCGGCGGCTTGCCAGCTTCATGGAGAGCTCATAACGCCCCGGCCAGGGGTCGACGAAGCCCATGCTTGCGCAGGCAGGGCTTGTACTAAACAAACACGACGCCGACAAAAGGGCGGCCAGGTTGTGTTCCAAATCCAGGTCCCCAAACTCTACAGCTGGACATGGTTTACTTTTAGTGAGTGGGGATGTCAGCCAAATGGGCCAAATGGCTGGTTGGCTTGAGAGCTCCTGCATACTGGTAAGCCCTGAACAGGCTAGTGAGCTGGGCAGTTCTGTTGACGCTTGCCACAATCCCATCGAAACATCTGCCCTATCCCCCCTGCCAAGGGAAATAACCTTTGAGCCAATCGGAGCGCGAAAGTGCGGCAGCAACTATACAGGCCATCAGGCTAGGGCATGCGCGGCCAATGTAGCGACCTAAAATCTGCTTGCATGTGGCCCCCACATCCGAAGCCGCCTGGTCTTAACCCTCCAAGATCAAAGAACATAAAGGTACGCACTGTACCCTTAAAACAAGAACAAGGCAAAGTTGAGCTGATGCCCCCCACGACTCCAAATTGCCGAGGAACTCATGGAGCAGCGCATATCCACCCACCACAACCTAAGCTCAGGATTGCCCCGCACTCGACATGCATCTCATGAGCTGTTGGACGAATCACAGACCTTACTCAAAGAGCAGGAGAAAGCTTAGTTAATCCCAGCAGCCCCGCGGCGCCGTGCCGTTCGAAGGGCTGTCAGAGCCAGGCGCAGCATTGATCGAGGCCTCGGGTATTGCTCAGCTATGTAATCCATAAGGCACAGCATACTGACGATGATAATGGTGATGTTGGTCGCGACGTTGAAAGTGAGGATGACACCTGTTTATGCCACTACTCCCCAAAATTGTTGCATCATTGCTGACTCTTCTTCTGCAGCTGCCAGAATTACTGCTTCATTGGTATTGCGGGCTTTTGCTGCTGCTGCTGCTGCAGCAATGCTGCAACCACGCAGAGGATCACTGGAACAATAACAACGACGGCGACAACAAACAAGCACATGCTGCATGGCTTCAAGGTTCCATCGTATCGTTGACGCCATAAACTAAAGTCCAACGTCCAGACAAAGAGTGCAAAGAAACCTGCTATCGCTCTCTAGACATGGCTATGCCTCAGGCAGGGAACCCATGCTACACCTGCAGCCATGAAAGCGAATGTCTGAACACTGTTAAACACAATCTGCCCCTTCAGGCACAAGCCATTACGCAGGTAGATGGTGGCGTGCGCTACGTCTGCAAAGCGTGTTTGCGCGATGTGAAGAACAACTGGCGTAGAGCGCTACCTGCAAATTTACTGTTGGGGGAGATGGAGCAACCAGAAATACAAAGACTGTCGGGGATGGGTATCTGGCATTGATCAGCGTGTTCACCTTTTGCCCGGCTCGCCATGAAGCAGAGTCGACCATTGCAATTGATGGGTTATTGGGTCTCCTCGCACAAGATTCTTCAAATCTCGTGGGGGAGAAGCAAAACTCACCAATAAGCAGCCTATACTAGTCATCAACTTTGCAAAATCACCTTCCTATCAAAACTATGCCTCAAGCTGCAACTGCTTCACAACATTCGTATGATCACCCTCCTGCTAATATGCTGTTAAAGATTCTCGCTCGTCCTTTTCCAAGTCTCACATACCACCCATGTGCAGCCCTACACTATGCCACGTCAGGGCGGTGCTTTGTCGCCGCCCAGGATGGGTGTCCCAGGAGGCGGCTTGTCGGCGGCATCCCAGAGCTGCCTATTACAGATCTTGGCTTGTCGATGTTCATTGTGCATAGTCTTTCTGTTTTCAGAGCTTCGGGCTTCTCAATGAACGTGCTGGGCGAGCTTTGGATTTATAGAATATAACACACATTTTGAGGACCAAAAGACCAACGGACCTTGGGGGTCCGCTGCTGCCTTTTATTGCCACCATTAAGATTTACTGAGAAGCTTGGCAACGACTGAGGGGTATTAAGCACTTTGCCGAGTTCCTGAAACTGAGAGGATCTCTTGTAGGCGCACTACAGACAGCCTTGTGAGCAACTTTGCTTAGCCACGTCTTGGAGGCTCTGTTTGGGCATACCCGTGACAGCTTCGGGGCTTCGGGCTTGCAAACAAGAGTGTAATTTTTGGATACCCCAAACTGTGCGATGCAACCTTGAGCACTTCCAGCAACACCTACCTCAAAACCGGAGAAGTAATCCTTCAAAGCTCAAATGGACAGGGAACCGCTCCAGGGGCGCGAAGGCATTGAACACCTCCTCAGTCAAGCGTCGGCTTAGGGATGTCTACAGCAGCATGCGGTTCGCATAATTTGCAAGTTGGGGTGTCTTGTGGTCACAAGCTCCACGGATCTCGCTGCCATCGGCAACGCTCAGGTCCCAAATTAACTGACAATGAATAATCCTTCATGAAGCTTCCAAGAAACAGGAAGAAACAGCACAAGCTCTTCATTCGTACCTTCATACCTTTCAAGCAAGGGTCCCAGCGAACGCCACTCTCCCGGACCTGGGAGCAGTCTTGCACAGCAACGTTCTGCTGCTGGATCGGCAGGCGGTCCAGGCAGGTCTCGAAAGTCCGTCGGCGACCGTTGTCACCCCAAGTGATTGGATTCTGTATCCATCCGGGATTGTCTATGAAGGAAAACTTCTGCGGCTGGTTCACGTGCCCAGTGTGGCAGGGATACCTCAGTTGCCGCGTTAGGTATGAGTCATAGCTTCATTTGGCGTTTGCCAACTGGCAGGATGAAGGGCGTGGTTGAAGCCTACGGCAAAAAAGACAAAGCTTTCCTTCAACAGAAAAGGAAGTTGAAAAACCAGAACATGAGCCATATGATTTGCAATGCTCCCCAGGAATGACCAGGGTGCAGGATCGGTTTGTGGTCACTGCCAGCATCTATGCAGGTGGCGGAGACCACGTGCTGGACCTGTGTTGTCCCACCTTGAGAACGTATTCGCCACCTCTGAGGGCCAAGCTAAGTTATGCCTATAGGACCCGGTAAACCAGGAAGCCCTGCACCGAACCTCTCGCACCCTAGCGTGTCTGAGAGCTGCAAGGCAACGAGCCTGCAGTTCAGTTCCCATGACCCCTGCCTCTGTTGCTTTGTACACTCTGACAGGCCCAGTACGTTCCCAGAGAGCGCTGAGAGGCAGCGGCCGTCGTCTCGGTCCTTGATGCATCCAATTATGGGTCCACCAAGTCAGAGCTTGCTGGTGGGGTCAGGCTCGAAAACACATATGCAAAAAGCTGCTCGTGTAGCCGGAAGCCTTCAGCATGAATGTTCCATCCTGATCCTCCTCCACACCTTTGTGGGGCAAATGCTTGCGATGTTTGCTTTCTGACTTTCCTCATGGAAGCCTGTTTGCTGCTGCTGTGGCCGCTGTCTTCTTCGGACCCTGAAATCCTACAGTACTCTGCATGTGTGAGATGCTTCATGGCAAAAACAGCGTAACGCAGCGTAGCCTGTGGGTCGCAACACTTGACGCAATCCTCCAAATACATAGCCAGCCGCAAGTTCCGACACTCTGAAGCTTCTTCGTGCCTTGCATCAATGAAAACTGACACTGGAGTTGAGGGGAGTGCGTTGCAGCCGCTGTCCGGGCTTTGGCGCACAGGTCATCAAGCGATACTCTCCTGGATAAGGGTAGGTTTGCTGCATCCGTATCGTTGGTATACCCATCGTAAGCCGGCCTTGTAGCCACAATAGTTTACGTTTACATGCCTGTCAGGATTGTAGTAGACAAAAACGGAATGATCTCCTAAGATCAGGAGGATTCAAGCGGCAAGGGCTGCCAACGCCTTTTGAGGACGTGTTCTTCACATGGCTGTTCCCCACTGCAGCGGGCTGGAGAGCTCATCAAGACAGTAAATGCCTGGAGTATATGAGATACAAAAGACAAAGCCGTGGCTGTTTGCTCTCAAACTTGAGTTGAGCGGGCAGCTGCAAGGGAAAACGCCTTGTTGCAGCGTGGCAGGCCCAGCCCCAGCCAAGACACTCTCAAGCCGTTTGTCATGCTCTTACGCCATAGGCTAAAACTGATTGTCGCAGCCCAGGACAGCAGCAAAAGTTACGCATCACGCTTGCAAAGTACGCGCGTCAATTGACGGCTTCGCTAAAAACAAAACCTCACCTCTAATAGTTGACGCGAGGTGACGGACTAATGTAACTTCGACATTGTTTAGCATCGGTGTATGCGTATGACTATATCGGTTAAGACACACGGCACAGTCCTCGTTGAACAATGAAACCATGTGTTCATCGGCTCTGTCCTTGAGGGGGAGTCACCTTCTCTCGGATTTTCATCGAATCAATGCAGATCTGCGGGCCGCCATTTGGGGCCTGAAGTCAAGGCGCTTGCAATCAGCAGCAATGTCGTCGTAGTAGTAGTAGTAGTAGTAGTAATAGTAGTAATAGTAGTAGTAGTAGTAGTAGTAGTATAATAGCAGTACTGAACACGAACCACGGCAAGAATAACACTGGCAGGCGCGACGTTAAGAGCAGTAGTTAGGAATGATGCGGCCTCCCTGCATTCTTTCCCAGGGGCTTCATGGACCCGGGGCGCGACTGATGTTGCGTTGCAGAAAGGAATACACAACTAAGACCGTGCCACTGCTGTTTCACAAATCGTGATAGGCCCTGATGCTTGACACCTGGTCAACCTTTGCTTCACAACCCCTACCTTATACCACCATGACTCATGACCAGGGAGCCATGTGCGCGACACCGCTCATACCAGTTAATAAGGAAACCTTCAAGGCCCTTCCTGCAATGCTTATGCGGTCTACACAACCCTCCATGAAGAGCCCCTGTCTACCGAACTCCCCAGCCTGCCACAGCAGCCTTGCAGCGCGAATCTGCCAGACTTGATTCCTTGAGCGAGGGATCTCACACCTCCTCTCTTAGCGACACCAAGATTGGCATCCCAGAAAGAAAGTCACAAGGTCTGGTCAGCCAGCACCAGCTGAAGCAGCTTCACACCGGATCTCCGAGCATATGCATTTGAATAGCGTTTCTAGCAGTCCGGCTTGCTTGGCCTTTTGGGACCTCTTCCAGTTGAGTTTCAGCAGATGTGGCCTCTTGGAACCCTAGAGCGTTGAGCACTATCTGCCTACATTACGTCCCATCCAGCAGGAGGCACATGTTGTGCGAGCTCTCGTCGTAGCAAGGGTATACCAGAACATCCCGGCCGCCACTGGAATCGAGACAGTTGCGGCTGTCACCTTCGTGTCCAGAGTAATGCCTTTATGCAATGCCTGAGACTGTGCAGGTTTTGGCCTCTTGGCGTGCTTGTTAATCCTCCCTCGTCATTGCAGATCCCTCCCCCGCCCGCCCCGGCCCCCCCCACATTTGACTAACACTCTTCCTGCCTGTTTTGATCTCGAAGCCGTTGAAGCGAGGCGTCGCTGTAAAGATCCTGAGCAGGCAGGGCAAATGTTCGCTTGTCGTTGAGACTCTCCAGCCGAGCGCTTCCTCAACCAAAGCTCGTTGGCCTTGAGCATCTATAGCCTAAATACCTCATTGGAGGAACTACATATAGCGTGCATGCAGAAAGCGGGGGGCCCACTGACAGACATGAAACATTATCTCATAACTGCTTGTCGGATGCTACATATAACACCGGCACACGTCCAGACAACGCTTAACAAGACATAAGTGGGTAAGTCCATGCAAGGTTTGGCCAACCCAGAGCTGTTTTGATCACCAAGCGTCTGAGAGGTGTCCTCAAGGTCACAAGGCCGGAACCTGAGCACAAACGGCTAGTCCGACCTCTTCAAAATCAAGGGGGCTCCACCCCACCCTACAATTGACAAGCAATGAAAAAACAAGTCTGGAAACTTTTTTGGTTACTCTGGGGGGTGGTTCTTTGTACATATGAAGAAAGACCCTCTCACGCAAGCTCCGTAGCCATCCTTGAGCTTTCTTTTCCTCAAAACTTCAGGAAGGTTTCAGAATCGGCTTTCCTAGTCTCATTTTGTAAGCAGCCAAACCTGTCAATCAACAACTGTATTCACATAAAGCAATTCCAAAATCGATCGAAACCTATTGAAGATGAATAAACGCAGAACTATTGCCCTGCAAAAGCACTACCTGTGGTTTTTAGGCGGGCTTTCGGCCCCAAATGCCCCTGGCCCTGAAGTGCTCTTTGACCTCCCAAAATAGCCAATCTTTAAACCTTGGGGGTTTTACTAACTCGCATCCACGCCGCAGTATGCTAAGCCAAGCCCTTTGGATGAATCTGCTCGTTGCTGATCGCTGGAAGTTCTCCCATATATAGGATTTCTGAAAGTAGCAGCCAAGTCCGAGAGACTGCAGCTCCATACCGGAGGCGCTCTCTTCGCCACCTGACAGGCTTCAAGCGCCTTGCCCGTCAGCATGCCTACAAACAGCCTACCGCCACGGCCCTCACTACTGACTATGACATTCGGTTAAGATCAACTCAGCGATGCCACAGCCGTGCCACAACTTGCCATTCTTAATCCCGTCATATCCGGTCATGTCTTCAAGAATTGAGCAGAAAGACCCGATGGCCGCAAATTGAATGACTGCAACGCTAAGGCACCCCCTTTTTGAGACACCCCTAATATGAGCAAAGGCAAGGCCTTCCTTGGTGGCCATAGCAGCGCAACCTCCATTCTCCTTGAAAGAAATGAACTAGCATGGAAGGCTGCACTCACATCCTCATTTCAAAGGCTCCGGCACCCGCTCATGATACAAGGTCTCGAATATACATTGCATCGGATGGTTCTGGAGCATGCGACTAAACTCTTGCGAATTGACAGCAGCAGTTTTACGCAACCTTGTTGCAGCCATGCGTGGTTCTAGATGTATTTACCAGCATGCCTTGCCGACTCCGATGAAGTCTGCAGGGCCACTTCGATCATATGATTCGTAGCACGTGCTGTTGTTGCTAATGGTCCGCCGGAATCTATTCAGTGGAAGCCCGCATCTCAAAGCCCGTCTGATTCATCTACACCCTACAGTTGGAACCAGAGAAAGCAGGTCTGACAGAGTTGACTCCTGTTGAGATTGTTGAGGCCAACCTCACAAATTTACAGAGAGGCCCCTTTAGAAGCCTGCGATTACCCCACCATTCTTTGAAGATTAAGTCAACAACAGTCTATGGCCGCACAAGGGGCATTAGAGCATTAGGTCACTAGGTAGGTCAACAGGGCGTAGCTCATTGACGCCTTTGATTGGGGATCTGCTACTCCTCGTGGCTCTTGAGGCGGAACTTCGTCGGGACTTTGAGGCCGTTGGCTGCTGCGTGAGTGCCATCGCCAACCTCAGTGGGCTCTGTGCTGATCCAACCTAGAAAGCGGGGGAGGCAGTTGACGTCAAGGACTCCAGCGCTTACAACGGAGGCCTATGTAGGCGCCATGCACACTGCAGTATGCAGTCAGGACTGTTCGCGTGGATGCAGAGGGAGTTTAAGACAGTACAGGGCTAACTAAAAGGATTCTTCACTTCAAAATCTTTGCTCACAGAATGCCATGACAGCTGATCGGCAGGCTCCACAGCAGCAGAGCAAGCATCGATGTTCCTGATCACTGCTCTGCCGACCTGCCAAACAAAACAAGTGCCAGGTCCCGCCTAGCAGCAGTATGCAGAGCAATCTGGGGCGGACCGTTGATAGCAAAGCCAGTTCTTGGAACATAAGTTTGTTCCTACCCCAAGACCTGAGCAGGGAGAAATTAGCACGAAATATCCTGTTTCCATGTTCCCGCTTATTTGCCCTTGCTGGATGCATCCCGTGCTCAAAGCTCAATGGTGAAGCTGCTATCCACCCTTGCTCAACGCACTCCTCAGCCATCTACCAATCAAGATCCCTACTGCAAGTGTTTCAGATACTGTGCAGCAATTCCAAAACCTTTTGTACCCTCCACAGGCCCCTTCTCTCCCAGAAAAGCCTTGGGAGGCTGCGGCGCGAAGCAGCCGCGGGCTCCTCCCCATGCGCCTATCCAATTCCTGTGCTCAGACAGCGGTGTAAGAAGGAAGCTACGTCTACGGTCTAGCAAGTTCTTCGCACTGCTGTTGAGGCCGAGGTTTGAATGGTTGAAATAGGAACTCAGGATTCCTGCCCTTTCCAGGCTTCACGGCCACTCTTCTTCTCTGGCGAGAGCATATAGCAATGTGTACAGGAATATGAAGCAAAATCCCATATTATGGAAAGTTGCAATCTCGTCTACGATCTCGCTCATGTTGAGATTATAGACACAACAGGGGAGAATTTCCGTTTTACGTTTGCTTCAGTTTAGGCACGTAGACTTCAGAGTTCCTGCATTGGCAAGGCTGGCGGGAACAAGTAAAGGCAGGTGCCATGTCATGAGACCCTCATGAGGTAGAAACTTCGAAGCCTCGAAAGGTCGGGGAACCTTCACTTCTGATGAGAAACTCTGAAAAGGAGCATGCGCATCCACAGCACCGGCTTTCCAGTACCCCTTCTAACCCTGAGCCCAGGGTCCACATCAGCTGGCCATCTTCGGACAGCTGAACCTGGAAGATTCGGCTGGCTTGAGATGCTGACATGCTTGCCATGTCGTTTGCCCTGGCTGTTACAAAGCCCGGAGGCACTGCGCACAGAGCTTCCTCAATCTTATATACTCTGAATCTTCCAAACTTGCAGAAATGCCATCATGGCGGAGACTCTGCATATGCGTCCACTCCAAACCTTACTCGAGGTTGGCCTTCTGGTGCGACGAGGATCCGCCAATCTCACACTCGAAGGTCCGGACCTTGTTGGGCCCAAATAATGCACCGCGGCAAGCCGGCCAAGGAGACTGCAAGGCTTAGCTAGGAAGGAAGCATCTGGCACAGCTCCGCAACATGGAGGCGTCGCAGGCAGCTTGCAAAAACTGGCCAACAGTTTCTGATACCCCTCACCTGGGTGCCCGTGTTCTGCGCATCCAGGCATTGCAGGAAGTTCCAGTGCATTATTCCGCTGCAGCAGGGCTTGCCCCTCCTCGACATGTCCTTGAATAGCATGCAACTGAATCTTAACAAAGCTGCAGGCTGCTGTCCTGAAGGACACGCGCATGCTACGACGCTACGATTCAACTGAATTGCATTGCGATTCAGGACTGGGGTTCAGGGCTCTAAACCTTCAAGGGCAAAAACACCCAAATACCCAAGTCATCTTGGACGAGACGAACAGGATTTTTGAACTCGCTGGACTCCTTTCAAACATGCTATAATTATAAGCAATCTGGATCACAGGTTCCTTGCTCGGAGATTTTGCTGCGCAATAAGAGCTCTGAACAACTGGACAATGAAGTTCAGGCAACCATAGCCAAGCGGCCCGATTCCCGCGATGGAAGAGCTGCAGCTCTGAGGATTGATTGGCCTCTGGAGCACACTCACAGCCATGAATGACCGCCACGAGGGCTTCAGATGACCCCACACTGCACCTTGTTGTGTAACGAAAGGTCCCCGCCTCATGCGGCCCAGCGCAGGCTGCTAAAACCACGTTGTGTGGCTGGCGGTCGTTCCGCTTTACCTGCGGACGCACAAATGACAAACAGGATTGCATCGTCTGCCCAACATGGCGCCCAATCCGTCGAAATCGGACAGGCTCCTGCCTGCATGCAGAGTCCAGACTTCTGCTCGCGAAGCTGGAAAACTTGATCTGGTATCAAGCCACCATCCAGATAAATGTACCTTGGCTTAAACGCTACAGAAACAAAGACGCAGACAATAGCTACCTACTAGTAGCTATTATCATTCCTACCTGTGGGTCTGAAGCGGTCCCTGAGGTGTTGTTATGGATTCACTAGTCTGAGAGCAAGTTCTGCTATCTAGGGCCTCAAGATAGTGCAATGATGCATCTGTTTTGCCAACTGGTACGACTCTGAGGATAATTCTACGGCCGACGGCCGGGGCCTTGGCCTGGAATCTAAGACCGTCAGCGTCACAATCCTACGAAACTTCCGCCCTTCAAAGCGATGCAGCCAAGACTCGAAAAACGATCCAAGTAGCCTCAAACTGCTGCAGCTTTGCATGACAGAAAAATGCAAGTTCTTATAGCGCTTGACGATGTGAAAGAGCCTTCGATCTTGCATGCCATGCTCAAGTGCAGCCCGCGGGGCTAGTGAAGGGAGCACAGCCCAATCGCTCCTGCAAATGAAGAGGGATTTTTTGGGTGCAGACTGTTGCCGGGAGAAGGCTCTATGGAGAAGGAAGACCATTGTAAAGCAGCAGGCTGGTGGCCAAAAAGAGCTTCCCAGCCCCGGATTCAGACGGACAGCGCGAGATCTCCAATCTGCTCAATCAAGGTCCTTGACCGTTTCGAAGCCTCGCATGTCACCTCAGTCAGTCGACAGCAACCAGATGCCAACTCATTCTTCTGAGTTCTCTGGCTTCAGGAACTTAATTTTGCCAGGCTTGTAAGTATACCCTCAGTAGGTTGCTCTTCCACCGCGCGCGGGCACTGTACTTCACAGAACCAGGGGGGGGGGGGGGCTCGCTGGCAAAGACCTACCTTGCCACCATGTCGCCGATGCTCTCCCCGTTCTTTGTGAACATCTCGTACCTCAATTCAATTGAAGCTTGGAGTGAATTTTGTGAAAATCGAGCCAAGGCCGAGTTGATGATAGATGCTTGCGCCAAGGGAACCTCACGTTTCCTGAGCCAGCTCGCATTTACAACCAAGTTATCTGCCAAGAGTCTCCGGAAAAGTCATGACCTTCTGCACAAACTCTCCGAACCAAGCTGTGGCTGCACGCGCCTGAACAGCATCTGTCTGCAAATCGCTTTACGACACCAACCAAGACAAAAAAAGATTTGAGACGTAGTCTTTGGGCATTTGCCCCTTTTGACAGCCTTGTTCCGCATGACGTCCCGTGTGGGGATCGGATACTTCAGCGTAGTTTTCCTCAGTGAGAAAAGGGCACCCTTGGATGTGCAGCTTGATACCCTGGCCAAGGTCTGCCTGCACACTGGATCCATTCTGACCACTCCAAGCAGTTACAAAGTTTACCTGATGCTCTGAGCACGGCCCGGGTGCGGATTCTTCGGATCCCGCCACATGTGCGCGACGTACGCGCCCTCGGCGACTTCCTCATCTGGGCTTGACAAGCCTGGATGAACTTCAGTCCACAAATTGACCTCATTCCGTTCGTATCATTACCTGCAGGCACCAGCACAGAGACTCAAACCCTGGAGGACTAGAACTCCTCGTCAAACGTGGCAAACACTGGCTGCTCAACCCTGAACCGCTGATGTTGACCAAATAATATAATCAATATTGATACGCTGGCAAGCATCTATCCGTCCGCCGCAAAGCCATGAGCGAAGGGACTGATCAATGTTCCTGGGAAACAAGCCGGAACAAGCCGGTGCAGCCATGCGTTGATCTCAGCTCTCCGGCACAAGGAATGTAAAACGAAGCATCGTCGCCCAAACGCATATGTCGCTCAAGGGGGGAAGGCCGTATCATGGGTAAGGTACTTTCCCAAAAATAGCGGGCCCCTATATAGACCCAAATTTGGGAAACCCCCATTTCAATAATGGGGGGGAGTCTTCAGCCCTTCGGGCCCGGCGAAGCCTCAAACAAGACTCAACCTACAAAAGTCCCCCAAAATATGTATGAACATGCTATCTCTCAAGCATTCCTGAGTCTCGACTTCTTCAAGTCTCCCGAAAACTAAGAGCGGAAATGTGTTCTGGGGGTTGGATGCGGGGATGGAGTAGCTTTGACCGAGAGAAGTGGTCTCGCCGAAGCATGCCGTCAGTAAAGATGAAATCTGTTGGAACCCAACCCGACTGGACATGCCATCATGGCTGACCTACGCAGATGTGCCAAGTAACACCGCCAGGCAGAGCAATGCGGAAACCCCCAGTTACCCATCCCTGTTATGACAAGAGTCTCTCCGCCCCAGGCGACCATTTTGGTGTCATAGCCGCCGGTTTCCTCCCACCACCTTCGAGAAGTGATTGTGCCGGCAAATCGCGCTCGCTTGGGAACGCTTCAAACATACTGAAGCAAGTCATACACTACCCTCGCCATGGCGCCAGCAACTGCTTCGCCGAAGTTAGCCGGCCCAGTTGCATCCTCAACCTCTTATTCCATAACTGGCTGCACCCGTGAACCTTGCAAGCTCCATCTCCATGAGCGCTTCCCATGGTTGACAATCTAAAGGAGCTTTGTTTGCCACAAATAGCACGGTAACAGGTAAGTAACACCTTTGTAAAGCCCTTTGTCTGACATCTCTGTGCATTCCTTCAGCAACCTGAGCATGAGTCTTTCCTACGTTCAGAACCCCTAGAAAACAGCAAACTCCAGTGATGTTATGCCCGGTCCAAAGTCCAAAACGCATGAAGTTGAATTGCCGTGAGACAGCCTCCCTTATCCAAATGAGCTTTAGGGAAGGCGATAGTTTCCCGCAAGATGAACTGCGGATCGCTTGCTGTCTTCATTCCTGCAATCCCTCGCAAGTGTGTCACAGCGCCTCCGGGATAAGGCCAGGAGGCCTCCGCTCATCAGCGGGGCGTCACGACCCGGGTTGTACCTGCACGTCGAGACAGAGCGAGAGCCTCCGCCAAATGACCACTAGAATTTAAATCAAGAGAATGCAGCTCATTCACAATGCTGGCTGTAGAGTGCACGCTGAATTTACTGGGCACTGCAACCAAAGCTACAGCTACAGTACTGTACATGTCAGTACTGTACATGTCAGCGTGGCTACTTGCGCTCCCGTCTCAATGAACCGCCGAGGCACAACCACGTGAAGTCGTTATTCCACAATATGAAGCAGGTCTTGCCGCCAGAATTGCCACCAGTTTCCTTCCTGCCGAGCTGCTGGGCTTTAATGTCTGGGCCTTTCACGCTAAGCACGGAGCTCTGGATAGCAGAGCAAAGGCGGCCAGCGGCATGAACATTAAAATCTGTGTCATCAACTTGGACGATGTAGCTTGCCCAGAATCATGGGCAAGACATGGTGCTGCATTGGAGAGGCCATACTTATTCAACCATGGCCCTGTGCTGAATCTCAAGCCTGAAGCAAAAGGAAAAAACTCTGGAAACAGCCTCCAGACCTCTGACAACGTCTCCAGGTAATTAGGCGAGGCCCTAGCCAGGTCTGACGCTCACCTGGGTCTACATCGTCAGTCCGTAAACGTCTTGGATTACTGCAACAGGTCTTACTTGTGATGTTTGTATCCATGTAAAGCCCGCTGGTCCAGGTGTCAGGGTTCAGCGATGTGATGGTCGGGACCACGATGGTTCGATGGTCCCCTGCATGGACACGGATGGCTGTCCAGACAAAGTAAGTACGCTTCGCTCTGTGGGTTGAGAACCCCCGCTCCCTTGCAAAATCTCATCCGTGCTATCAAATTGTCTAACGCTGACATACTTGCAGGCTCGCTGGTTTATCCTTTGCAAAATTCGGCTTCAACCTGCCCAACCGCGCCTGTGCAATTTCTAATCCTGCAGCGCCGCCTTCACTAATTACATGACAAGGATGCTCTGGCTTGCGAACAAGACTGCTTCATTCCGGGCCCTGCCAAAGCCCGCGCATCTCATCACAAAATGAAAAACGTAAAGTGGGTCTTCTTGCAAGGGCCCAGGCCTCTCCGTTGCATCTGCTTCAGGAAAGCCTGCTCCCAGCCGATCCGGGGGCTGACGTGGCAGTCGAAGAAGACCTTGCAAGACTAGGCACAGGAAGGAATTCTCGGGCCGCTTCCTCATGAGGTTGAGTCAAGGACCAGCACTATGGCCAAGCCATTAAAGCTACGTGGGTTTCGATTTATGCCTTTAATTTGCTACTAAATCCAAAAGCTTAGGTGAAGTCTTCGAGGATTTTGTTGCAGGTAGGTGAGGGCATGAGGCCAGGGTCTCATGACCTACTGCCAAGTAGTTGAGGCTGTCTGACATGATTGGATGAAGCAGGTCAACGGTGTGAAGTACAGCTATGGTAGTTGTCCGATTTCAGTAGCAACTCTTTGCATGTCATTAGCCATGCCATGGACATACACACAGTTCAGGGGTGCTCTCCAGCAAAGGGCTGCTGCACTGCATGAGGTGGCAGAATACGAGGAGATGGACGGGAACCCAGTACCACGCCGTCATCATACAGCAAAGGCTCGATAACATCACCCGTGGCTGCGTCTCCTCCAGACTTTTTGGCCGAGATGAGGCCCAGGGTCTTCCTTGCAGCTGCTATTTAAGTAGCCAGACCATGCTGACTTGCGAAACTGCAGATGTATGCTCGTGTCTCAAAATCCGCGTTGCACTTTCAGACTTATGCTCGCCCTTGACCTGCCCCCAAAGTGCTTCCCGATATTTCAAATGCCTGGCTAAGCACCGCATGCCCAATCCATCCAAGACCGAGGGTCTCATGCCGAACGATCTTCATGTTCGGGACGCCAGGTCCGCCAGTAAGTAGCTTCCTAGCAGCAAAAAGTTAGAAAAGTCCTGAACCTCAAGAATGAGTCATTAAGTGGCCTATCATTAAGTGGCCTATCAGGAGTCGCGCGGCTCATACATGAGAAGGCGCATTATGCTGGATTTGGGATTTCTTCGCAAAGGTTCGTTCAAGCCTTGGTGCTTCAAGTTTTTGGGCATCTTGGAGGCTGGGAAAGCGTGTGGCATCAACAACTTACCGGAGTGCGGCGCGCTTATATATCAGAAGAAACCATTGAAGGCGCAAACTCGAGGATGCCAGGCGTCTCCGACATGATCTTCCGAAGCGGAGGCCGGGAGCCATCATCGACTACGATGATCTCCTTGAGAATCCGCTTGTCGGTGTTCTCCCAGACCTCAAGCTCTGGAGGGAAGCGCGGTGTTCTTGTAACTCCAAGCCAAAGAGAAGATCTGCAGTCCGAGGAGCAGCCCAGACCGTTTTCTCGGCAAATTCGCCCTCGAACGCGCAGGGCAGCACGACGCTAAAGGTTTTCCTCAAGAACTTGCTCTGCAACAGCGAGGGAGCTACAAGGGAATGCTTCAGTACACTTTACACGTTGCACTTTCTGAAGGTACATGTCCAAACTTTGCTTGGGCACCCGAGCAGCATTCCCAAGACTTGATGGGCTTAATCAACCAGCAGACAAACTAGAGAAACAAATGTAGCAGCCTGTGAGACCATCAGGCCTACAGACAGAACCAGATCAAAACAGAAAGCGCGCCTCACCCTGCTGACATTGTCCAAGAATCATGTCCACTGGCGCCTCCAGCTTTGGCGGCGAGGGTCGCCAGCGTAGAGCTGCAACCTCCGATTGGGAAAGAAGGCTGCTTAACGGGAAAATCACAAAATATTATTGCCGGCTCACTTCCTTCAATGCAGAATTTGTTGCGCGTCTCGTCTTTCGCTGCAGCAAGTGAATTCCCATCTTGACAAGCGGCAACCCGATTGCACAGCATGACTCTGAGCCTGCTCAATCGCAGATCGCCGCTTGATGCTAGCTGCTGGTGCTGCAGGCTGTGGTGCCGTTTGGGCAGGCTCGTGCCGCCTTGTCGCAAACCGAAATGGGGACATCCAGCAAGTGAAGTACTGTGAAGCGTTCATTCATGGACGTTGTCGGTGGCACATATGGATGAGTAAGCCCACGCAAAAGGCAGCTTCATCTGCAGCCCTCTGAATGGCTCCACAACGACATGGCCATACACCAACCACAGTTGGGCCGTGCATTTTCCTGCAAGAGCGCCGCTCCTATCGATAGAGCACTATTAGCAAAAGTGCTCGTGCGGTGGCACGGCTTCTAAAGCGGCCGCTCGCACAACAACTGTGCAATCCAAGCTACAGTAGGATTTTTTGCTACCCGACAAGTACTGCATGCACGACTGCTGATGGACGCACATTAACTAGGGGGGCATGCAAAGATTGACAGAATCGGATGAGAACCCTAAATGGAAACAACAGAAAGGCTTCTGTTCAAAAGCTTGCACATTGAGGGTCCTGGTGTTCAGAAAGTAGTCAAAGCTGAACAGGTTTAGGACATGCCTACACCTTTTCTCTCGCCCTGCCTCCATAGCTATGTGTTTACGGTAGCTAGGCTACGTAGGCCTTTGCGCGTGCAGCTGCGCAAGCAAGTGCGGCTCCGGCAGTTCATTGCTGGACTGAAGAACGTCCCTGAGCAGGAGCGGATCACAGTGGTTCTGTTGGTGCAAAGACGTCTGCGAGTGTGCTGCTGAATCCTTCTGTCTTCAAACATAGAACCTGCTCTGCGGACACTCCCATATTTTTGTGTGTGTTCTCAAGTTTGGGTGCGATAGTGCGACATTTTTTAACCTAGATTTGGAGACAGGCAGGGTGCATGTACGCCACGCTCAGCAGGAGGCCGGTGACAATGGCCACTGTCAGAATGGCGAAGCGAGTGCTCCTCGACATAACTACACATGCATTTCTGAAATGCGTGGCAACTTGCTGTCGCGTCAATGGGCTTCCATCCAGTAAGATCACAGCCAGGCCTGACTCTCGGCCTGGTTATATCACTGAATTGCGATGTGGCGCATCATGATGCTACACATGATGTCCTCTAGCTGGCAATAAGGCAAGTACGACAAGATACCCCACAAAGTGACATCATGAATATGAACAGACCGCTTCCCTTTCTGTACACTTTGGTGACGTCTTCCCCTTTGCCCCTGCGCTTATGATGAACAAAAATTATGTCTATGCAGCGTTCAGGACAACCTGTGGTCCAAGTCGCGGCACAGCAGCCGAGATCACTGCGCCACATGCAGCACCAAGGAGCACCATCCTTGCAATCAAGCGCTTCTAGACTCTGCCAGCTGAAGCGGTGCAAAGAACAGCCCAAAAACTCGATGCTGATTCAATGCTGCGCCCCGCAAAAACACTGATCGTAGCTGACTGATGACATGCCTTACACCTGCGGCCTGTCGCCACGTTGCTTGGCGACACAACCCACTTTGATCTGAGTCCAGCCAACCTCTTACCAGCACTTGAGGAAGGCAGGGGCTTCACCTAACATCACCCTGTTTTCCAACACGGACTGCAACCACGGGACTTCCAATCGCTGGCTCCACCATTGCCCTCCTAAATCAGAGGAGGCGCTGGGAAAAATTGTGTCAAAGATTGCTTTCACTCGATGAAGTACACCGCACATAAGGAATGTGAGCTACAACTGGCATGTTGCACAGGATCCACAGGTATTTCCAACACATACTCGAAAGGGGCTAATTGTGACATGGCTCAGGCTGGAGGATCGCTATCAGCAGCGGCAGCAAAAACCTTGGCGTGGCGGCGACATGTGTGCGACAGTAGCAGAAAACAAGGGTCATTCCGCCATACTTCCCCGAATTCGATTTTATACCTGTGAACAATGGAACGGTAACCCCAGTGCACCGAATTCAAGTTGACCCTTGGCCTGCACTGAAACTGACAATGCTGCCCAAGTCCCACAGTGCAGCCGGGCTACAAGGGAAGAGCCCGCAAAGCCCAGCTGACAGCTGTTTGGGCCACGCTGCCATTGGGAGGCTTCCGCTTCATGGCCGTTCGTCGGTATAAGGGAAATGCTGATGGGCTAGGGGTACAATACGAGGGCTCAGGTTGGGCTGAAAGTTGGCGCGTCGGGGCTTACTACTGGGTCTCTGAGAAAGGATCCGGGAGGCTATAGACTCTACTACGAGCGAGCTGAGCTGCGGTTCTTGGTTTGGGGCTGGGATTGGGGTGTGAGGAGAGGGTCAGTGCATTGGGGGTTGGGTGCATGAATTCTATCATGGCTCAGATCAATAAAGCCAAAGCCACGGCAGGAAAGCAGGAGAGGATTCACCTATTGAACTGCTTACACTGGGTTGGTCGGATGCCCGGCCATATCACCTTTGGAAGCGTATGCTGCAATCTGCCAGTAGTGCACCTACTCGGCTTCAAAACGGTACGACCGACTACAGTAGCAGCCAGAAATGATGGTCTTTGGCAAGCTGAGGTGCTGCATGCCCGCCAGAATCATGGAGCCCCAGCAAACCTTGCCGCGGCGCATGGCATGTCACAGTAGCAGGAGTGACCGCATGGTGTCTTAGCGTTCCGACACCAGATTCACTTGTCTTGGACATGCCCTGGCGCTACTATAGCAGGTTGTAACCGCACAGCTTCAAGGTTTAAACTTACGCCCAGACGAGCTGCTGCCACAGGAGGGCTTCCTGCCGCCAGAAACTTCCGGAGCTGCGCTAAGCTGCCTTCCACTGTGCTGGGCTTGTGTAGCATAATGAGTAGAGTGTTCAATCCACGCATTTGTCCTGACTAGAATACTACCCGTAACAGCCGAGCCAGCCGGAGATTCAATCGCATGACCGAGATTTTTTCCTGCATGTTGGACGTGGCATTCCTAACAGAGGAGGGGTTCAGTTGTGCTGCTCTTTAATCTGACAGACTGCGCTTAAGAATGCATGTTTGATGCCAATGATGCTGATCACTGCTAGCAGTAGAACCCTTGAGGTGCGCAAGTGAACTTAGGGATCTAGATGAATCTGCATGAAATCAAATTTGTATGCTCTTTCAAGATCTGCTGAGTCGCCTTGGGAAAGTTCTGCCGGTGTTGGCTGGTCCTGCTGCAAACTGATCGACTGACTTGTGGGATGAAGCTCGCTAACAAGCAGCATCCTATGCGTGTCTACGCGTGTTACAGGGTCGAGCTTTTGGGGCCCTCGCCCTTTGCAGCTGATTAGAAGAGGGGCGGCGCCTGTGCAAGGGCAGGCCATTACATGCAGCATAAGATCTCGATCTGGGACGATCTCGGTTTAGGCCAGGCCTCAAATCTGCCACATAGCTCCACTTCACTTGGTCTGTTCACTTATCTCACAAACCCAGCCGAATCCCAGGAACCACATCCCCCAGTGCATCTACTATGGCCTCAACCGAACACACCACAAGTGATGAATCTCAGGCCTCCATGACACATGGGGGTTTTTCAAAATTGGAGTTATCATTTCGGGTCCCAAGAATAAGGACTATAGTATATTGAGGTCTATATTGGGGTCCTCCCTATTTTGAAAAAATAATATATGGGGGTCCATATCGGGGTCCTCCCTATTTTGGGAAAAGTACCAAATGACCATCCCAGCTTCCTCCAGCAGCCAGGGCCCAGTTTGAAGCAGGCAGCTGTGGTCATCCACTGCCGCAGTCTGGCCAGGTCAAACAGCACAAATCTATAGGGTCAAGAAGAGAGAAACAGAAACAAATATATATATATATATTCATGTATATAAGTATATGTATATACACGTATACACACAGATAAGGATATGTGCGCATGTGTATATATATATATTATACATCTAGACATACGTATATTATATATTTCAACATACGTACATAAAACAGCTGCACTGGGATTCTGCAGTTCCTCGGCTGTTTTTGCCCACGCCCACTGAAAACAGGCTACGTTTGGACAGAGCTTCCACGGATGTGTCCTATTTTCCACCTCATTGATTTTTCTTCATACGTTTTGCAATGGCTTGGGCAAGGGCATTCTGCTAACAGGACCACCCTTTGCACAAACTCCACTAAAGGGGTTTGGACAGGAACGGCTTTTCTCGCTTGATTTAACATGCGCTAGCACGGCAGGCCTACATGGACCACACGGAATCGGCTTTCCCTGCGGTAGCACTCCTACTATTCAACAAACTAAAGGTCCGCGGACTACACGACCGATCTTGCCTGCGCAACTTTCTGTGAAGCACCCGTGGTATGTTTGCTTCCTGTGCTGTAGAACGCTCACTGACACAAAGCAGACTCAGACTACGTGGCTAAGACAACACTATGAGCTTACGCGAGACTATGGCCATAGGCAAGCACTGTGGCAAATGCGTTGCCATCATAGCTCTCACATACCGAACAGAAACGCTGCTCACTGAAATGCTTGCTCGGCTGTTTGGCCTCGTCCAGCAGAATGCTGGCGGCCAGGAACGCTGGACCTTACGTGCGGTTGTCGGGATGTTCAGAGGCAGTGGTGCGTGGCGAATCCCACTACCACTAGACCCTTTGGCCTTTCGCTTGTGACAGCAGTGCAGCTCAGCTCCACGCGAGGGGGCTGTAAATAAAGCATGCTGGACTGGAACTCCATCATGGCTCGGAAGAAACCTCAGTGGATGGCTCTGTCCCTGACATCTGCCCAAGGGTACGGACGAACCACGTCTTGGAAAGCAGGTACAAGAACCGCGGCAAAGCGTTCAGGGGGGAAACTCCACCCCCAAAGCCTGCACTGAAAGCTTTGTTTGCTGTTGCAGCCCCGAGACCCTGGAACAGCGAGGGGACATAAACGAATGCTACAAGTAGTACTGTAAGAATGAGACGCACTAAAAATGATACACACCTTGGCATGAGTTCGGATAGTAATACTGCTAGGAATACTCATGCTGGCCAAAGGGAGGAATACCAATACTGGGCAAAGAAATGCAAATACTTGTCAGGTTTCACACTGGAACATGGAACGTGGTTGTCCATGTCTCCATCACCATTCCAAAGCTCCTGTCGCAGAACCACTATCCTTAACATGGTTTGTCTGCACCCAGCGTCCTTTACAGGCTCTGCAGTTGTTCTGTCAATTTGCATGCATTCTGTAACAGTCAACTGCTTGAACCTTCACAAGGTCCTCGAGCAGGTATAGCAGAAACAGCTACTTTGAACCAGGCTGCACGCAAAGATCACAGGCGTGCCAGTAAGGTTCTCGTAGCGCAGCGCGGCAGTGCTTGCCTCCGGAATGGTTCCCGAACAAATGGACAGGTAACGGCCAACGCCGGAGTCTATGGGCTGCCCAGGACACCTCATTGCTGGTAACCAGGGTCTCTGGAGCAAAGTCTTCCAAGGCATCCTTCAGGGCTTCTCCAAGTATGGAGGGCTTGGATCTTGATTTTTGAGGTGGGAAGCTCATGGAAGCGTCCCAGTCAAAAGGCGTACCGTCCTCACTGCAGGGGCAATGCTTGCAAGTCTGGGCTTGGCCTGAATTATTCCCAACACAAGTTTTGACTTATCTTTTGGTAGTCGCCACGAACTCCCCGTTTTGGCACACCCCATCTTGACACATCTTGACTGGCTTGGATCCTCCAAAGAGCTGCACTTGCCAGGATGCTCCTGCAAGCAGGAATCGTCAAGCTCCGAAGCGTGCACTTCACTGCAGGACACTCTTGGCTGAGAAGGGCTGCGGTGGCTTGAGATCATCTTGCTTTCGATATAGAATGGTCATATGGTCGTCCGTATCGATTGGTACATGGCTCGCGCCTATGTGTACTGCTACATAGCGCGGCAACGTTGGCGGAGCAAACGTCCGCACACAGTTCCCTCTGTTCGATTTTACACGGGCACCGCAGGACAGTGGCATCTGCAACCGCGCGGGCTTGTCAAGCCAGCCCACAAATATGAACACTATAATATCTATATGAACACTATTGAAAATTTCTTCAGCCGAAAAAAAAACCGCATCACTCGTAAGGATGTGCGCTGATTTTGTCCCCGGCGACCTCGAACCACTTCTTCGCAGCCCGCTGTGCACGGGAGACACTGGGCAAAGAGGACATCAGCGTCTCCCTTGGATAGTTAAGAATGATCTAGGAATTGCAATATGTCAGAAATTACATGGGCGAGGCTTGATGTTGAGTAATCACCTTTGCAGGAAATCTTGTGTCGTGGCATCATCATGATTTCTTGGCTTCCAGGTGGGTTGTTTTTAGCACCGAGCCTTCCTGCAGCGTAGCGTGTCAGTAGCAAAAAATGCCATGGTTAACATGCGCGCAGGTCTAGCTTTACTTTCTGTGGCTTCTGCCTTCCGGTTGCAGGCGAAGCTCCCGGAGACACCGCCAATCCGTTGAATGCATGCCTGCTGCAATGCACTCGTGACTGGCGCTGGTTTCAAAACAAGATCATGCTTGCTCTTCTTCGTCAGGTCCACTTCCATGTACTTCTTTCAGGGGGCCTAGGAATGGGGCATTGCTTAAAAGAACACGTGCGCCAAAGTGTCTACGTTGTTGTGTGTCCGCCTGCGAGTCTGCAAATACGGGCACCATGTCCACGCCATGACGTTCACAAAGCGCTGTGTGGTTCGCATTTGTGAAGATGCACACCTCAACGGATGAGCGCTGGAAAATAGTGTGTGCTGAAACAACTTCTCAGTCGCAGCGAGGCCAGCCATGTTAGAAACATGTCCATGAACATGATGACCGTCATGCACATCAACAAGCCAACGCAGAAAAGGGAAGCAAGGGTTCATGTTGAAGCATGCAAGAAAACCTTGCTCCAGCTTGGATCTGTTGCGTTATTTCAATCTATTTCATGTGCGCTGGACACACGCGCAGCTACTTGACGTTTTGCGAACTTACAAGTATTTTTGCAGACCGAAGACACCTGGTGTCCCAAGCGTCGGAGAACCAAAGCCAGCGCCACAAGCGGCTGCACATCGCCCCGCGAGCCACTCACGACAATCGCCACGCGGAGGCCTGTCTGCGGATAGGTCGCAGGCAGCATGTTTTTCTTGGTCAGTGTCTTCTACAGGAAATTGATCCTCCAATGTGATCCCGCCTGTTGTGGCATCGTCTTGACCTTCCACTTCTTCCGCCGCCACGTCTTTGGCATGAGGCGAAGCCGTGACACTCGTCAAGCTGGCGGTGCGGAACCCAAGGCCTGCAAAATCTGGAAGGCTCTGGCTGAATTGCCTGGAAGCTGAAGACCTCCACCCCTAAAATGCTTAAGCTGCATAGCGGCTGAGCAAAAAATGAGAGAATCTTCTGGCATCCGGCTGCCTTCCCACCTCCCACCGGATGAATGCTCAACCCACGAAAACCACAAGATCAGCCAACAGAGTCCCAACAACAAGGGTGTTAAGGCAGCAGGGAGGCCACTACCTGATTGGATGCTTGAGCAGCGCCGCAGCGGTGTGGGCGGCTCAATCTGGGCACCTGGCGCGTGCTGGTGCGCGTAGGCACAGTGGGGTGGTTGTGACAGATCCCAAATTGTTTTGATGTTCTCAGATGGGCTGCCCTGGATATCTATCGCGAGAAGCATGAACCTGCAGCTGCAGAGCCAAACACTTCGTTTTAGGCGAGGCTCGGATCCTCCAATGGTTCGGCACAGAGCGAGAGCGAATGGGACCTGTGCTTTGCGAAGACCTGCTTAGACGCCTGCACTACGCCTACCAAATCCTACCTATCCCAAGGCGGGTAAGGTGTGCAGAAGCGTCTATTCACACTTCATGGTGGCCTTTCACGAGCGAACTGGTTTGTTTCTCAGTAAGTATGAGTGCCGGTCGACAAGGCTGACCTCAATAACACGCAGCCCTGCCTCTGAACCTCTCCGGCTAGCACGGTTGAGGGATCACATCATGCGAACGCAGCCTGAAAGGTTAAAGATTAGTCCTGCAATGAATCTTTCTTCTCAACCAACATGGCCTTTCAAGTTGAAACTCTGAAGCCTTCAGTACACTCCAATCCGTTGAGCGCAGGCGCTCTCTGGCATCGGCACCGCCAAATTGAAGCCCACGGATTTGGCACTCTTTAGAGGACCTGCCATTGTGTCTTCCTCTAGAGTTCCCGATGCAATGCACGGAAAGCTGAATGCGGAAAAATACTAGGACATCAGCAAACACGTATTTGGTGGAGCATAGACACTTCCAACCATGAGATGCCGCCAAGCGCCACACACTTAGTTACTGTAGCTGGTTCCACGCTGAGCTGATGCCCTACGGGGAAGCGGAGAAATGAAAAATGGGATGCTCAAGTGTTAACCATCAAGATTGCCACAAGGGTCAATCGTGCTCTTTTGCTAATGGGTATTACTGCGCGGACCGCCTTCTGCGGGTGGCTCCAGGAGCTCCAAGCGCGGGGCCTGGTTACGGGAGGGTGTGTGTCTGAGTGCCGAGATGTGCCGAGCACAGAATATGGCTGCAAGCCAAACACGAAGCTTCTTCATATTAACATGTCTGCATCAGGCACAGAGCTTGCAGCCCGACAGGCCTAGTGCAGACAAATCCAGACCATGAAGCCTCGAAGGTGAAGCACGTAAAATTGTCCGGCTCTGAGGGCAACCCTTAGCTTGAGATTCCATGCGTTGGGGTGCATGTGTCTGGGGTTGCTTATAGGTGGTATGCTATACGACATTTGAGAAACCTTGGCAAGCTTCAGGCACAGGATTCTGAAGCGTTACTACCTCTATGCACGAGGGAAAAAAGCAGCTCTTTCAAACTTGACATAACATGCTGGTGTGTGTATAGCCAGCAGAACACAAGCGCAGCTGCGATAAAAGTTCTCTGCATCCCGGCTTCGTAGCCCGGTCTCAGCAGTCTCAGCATCCAGAAGGTCCAGGGCATCGAAGTCAAAGCCTGGCTTGAAACGGAAATGCTGCTAGTAAACACCATGAGCTATTACAACACCTGCCGGGCGAATTCTCGAGACTTCTGGGGCTCTTCTTCCAGAAGGATTGGAGACTGCACAGCAAGAACCTGCCTGACGCATCCTTGACTTGATGGGTGTCCGAAAACTCTGATCCTGGCTAACCTCTGTGAGCATGACCTCTCAGGAGCCAGCCTGACACTGTTGCATGCAGGATAGCAAGACATGCCTTCCTGTCCTCTCAGCCTACGGATACCTCATGTATGTTGAAACTATCCCGGTTTCCAAAAGCTTCAAGCACCCTTCTAACCGGCAATGATCATGATGCATGAGGGCCAAGGCGCCCAGCTCTCCCGCAAGGGACGTGGGGGCTGAGGTGCTGTGGCTCTGAGAGCCTTTGCCTTATTTCTGCCACGCATTATCTTGCCTTATCTGCCAGCAGTTGACTCTTTTGTCAAGTCCTTTGTCATTTAGGGGTGGGAGAAGAAGGGTTTGCCATAATGGGGAGAAGCTGCACTCATCCTCTGCGATGACCTCCTCAAACTCCAGCTCAGCAGTTGCTGTCACGCTGGCTCTATCGTGTTTTGCCATGGCCAGTCACTTTACGGAAGCACAGTGGCGGGCGGGTGTTCTTGGGTACGGTTTCCAGGCTCTAGGAATATTTCCTCCCAGTTGCCTCTTCAAGGTCCCATTGGGCATGCCTTGCCAGAGCTACAACTGGCACTGCTGCTTTGAGGAGGTTAGCATGTTCAAGAAATCACGCCACAACAATGGCAACGCTTTGAACCAGCATCAGGCGCTCTGAACGTTGGCCGGTGGCTGCAAAAGAGCTTCACGCTCAGAATGGAAGTGCGGTCATAGTACCGCTTTGGCTTAGGCTTCATTTAAGGGCTTTGCAACTTGCATCCCGAGCATGGGCGCGACAAACCGAATTATCCAGTTATTGCACCTGCTGGACCCCACGGAGTGGCTACTGCCAATTGAAGTAATCTTCAAACCTCGCACACGGCTAGAAGATGCTAGAAGACTACCGGCGCGCAAGCAAGTGGAAGTGGAAGCCTTAGCTGACTGATGCTGGAGTACCCACTTACAGATGTTTGTCCGAATTGACGCAAATTTCTTCAACCACTTGTGACCTACTCTGCCACAGCCTCCGCAGTGGCACTGTCAAGCAGTCCATACGCCAATGCCTTCCAGTTGCACACATCTGTCTTCATATGCTTCGGCTTCCGTTGTCAGCTATGCAAGGCTAGTAGAAGGCATGGCAATTTCTCTACATGAATCAAAGACAAAGGACAAAGTGCGGAGGCTCACTGCAATCCCCGCGCCCAAGCACCCTCTGAGTTCACTGCTTCCCACATGCGGGAGAGCTGCCCCCTGGGCCACCTGCGAGCTGAACGTGGGAATTGTTGAAGCAACAAGTCTGCTTGCTCACTGTCCGCACCCTCCCAGCATGCGCAGCACGTACAGAGGCATGATGAAGGTCTGCTTAAGCTTAAGCAAGATTCTTGGTGCCACTTCTGCAGACTGAGGCCAATGCCACGTGAGAGCTGCCTCCTGAGGCCTGGAGGCACAGTTGTTGGTGCAGCTGGTCTTGAAACTCCAAGATATCCCGAGCCACTACCCCTGCTGGTTCATAACGTTCCTGCCCTGCGCCAGGCGGGGCGGGCAATGCTACAGTTGGCAGCTTGGCCCGTGCCACGTCACAAAAAATGTGCTCTCTTCAACCGGCGAAGCATTCAGAAATCCTAAATCCGGAGCTACCCATCGCGTCTGGAGTTCTTGTCATTTCATTCAGGCCCCGGCACAGAAGTCAGCAAGGACCCACTTTGGAGCGCAAGCCTCGTGCTTATCGATCAGTCGTTACGGTGCTACTACTATTGAATACTATTGATACCTGCATGATCGTCTTAGTAAACTGCAATACTTTAGTTCCCACGGTATAAGGCACTTGGGGTCATGCAGGAACCTTGATCTCCCAGTGTGCTCAAATCGCTAGCGCTTGAGTTTGGGGCAGCCATGCATAAAGGGTGTGCTTGCGATAAAATCTACAACCCCCCAAAGCTAGGGATAGTTGACTTCTTACGCGTCGAAGGCTTGCACGGGCCCTCCGCTCAGGGCTCACAGCTCTAGGCTCTGCAACCATCTCGCGAGCACTTCCCTAGCTAAAAAGACTCTGTCAAGCATGTTGGAACTCGTGGACTACTTACTTAAGACAGCAGCCGCAAAAATCCACCGCCGGCTGGTTGAGGATCGCACTCCGCAAGGGCACCGGGCCGGCCCTTGGCTATGCCAAAATTCTAACAGACATGCAGAGTGCTTGAGATCGCTGTCTGCCAGTAAACCCCATGCTAACCAACACGCAAGGCGGGATCCAATCCCTCCACTATCTTGAGAAACCCGCTCTCAAATTGCTCAACGGCTTTCAATCTGTCATCAGACTCACGTAGACATCATTTGTCAGGCCTGCAGAGTAGCGTTCTTCCGCTTGAGAGGCAAAAGCATGAGCCCCTGGAAATGAGGCCGGTGCTGCCAGGCGCGGAGATGCGGCCCACAGCCTCCAAGCCCAAATCGGCTTCAGCTTGAACAGGCAACTGTGGCTTGCTGTTAAGGAACGTAATCTAAATTACCATAATTTATAATGGGTATACACATTAGCATGGTTTTTGCAACTATATCAACTTAAAATAAATTAAGTTCCTTAAGAGCAACGCAGACAAAGTGCGCAAACGCCCCCGTCCTGCGGCTCCACCGGGAAAGCCGCTGGACCTTGACAAATCAGACGTCTGTACCCCATTCAGACGTTTATTGCAAATTGCGGCAAACAGTGCCCGTAAGCATTGTGTTTACTTCAGTTATCAAGATAATGATATCAGGACATAGTTTGAGAATGATCAAGCCGAAGTCGGAAGCCATTTGCGTGATAAGAAGCACACTGGACATTAATCGCAGAACAGTAGCTCATGGGGTTTGATCTTGCATGGTATCTTCCAAATGCATCGAAAATGCATTCTACGACAAGCTTGCAACGCTAGTGCCAAAATGTAACAGCTTCAAGCTGCATGAGGTTCCTCAGGATCCTTTCAGGGCAGGTAAATTTCAACCCTAACCCAACATCCCGGTAAACTGAAGGTAAGCATAGGTGTTGAAGCCGGGTCCTCGCGCATTGCGGGCCGTTCCATGACATGCAGTCTGGTCTGAGCTGTATCCGAAGACCTGAGGGCTGCACGCCCTCATGGGAAGCATCTGCCGCCTTAGTCAGATCCAGCGCTGACACTTCAGGCCTCAGCCCCTTTGACGGAGACACCTTCTTGTGTAAGAGTACCAGTAGAGACAAAACAAAGCAGAGGGGGCAAAGGATGGGGTGGACGGACTGCTTTGCGAAGTCAGACGCAGAGATGAGCTTCATGCGGCTGGCTGCTGGGAAACCAGTAGTGCCGTTGAACACTTGTTAAAGTAAACAGTGAAACCAGGAATTTATCCCTTTTTCCTCTGCATTTTCTGCCAGCACCTAATTACATTGACGCCAAACCTCCTGCTGTCAGGACTCTCCGGTTAAGCTCCCACTGCTGGAAGGCTTACCATTGAGAATGTCTTCTGCCGGGCGAATTGCGGGAACCTTCGTACTGGTAGGCCCTGCGAGCAAAAATCAACATGGGGTTGTAAAGAAACCCGGTACTACATCCTTGATAGCCTTCAACCTTATCTTTTTTTTCTGCCCCTGATCGTTTTACCCTATTTGCGGGCGCCTTTAACATTGTCGTGTTTTTGTTGCTCCTTATCGTTTTACAAGTCAAACGCCATCTCGGAAACGCATGACATACTGTAGAGACGCCGGGTTACTATACTTACAACCCCACCTGTCAAAGGCATGCCAAACGGCAACGGGAACCCCCCCTCCTATTGTTTGGAACTCCCTTTGTGCGGAGTCTACTCAAACAGCCAAGGAGCGGGGACTGGACGTGGTGCACGGAGGCTGCTTGCACAGAGCTGCGCCCGAACCTCAGAATGTAGCGGACCGAAGGCCAGTATCGCAAAGAGCTGTTACCACAAACAAAGGGAATTTCATAGTCGTAACGGCTTAGCTGTGGTAGGTACAGTAGAAACCACCAGTAGCAACAGCAGCAGCCGCAGCAATATTATTATTGTAGCAATTGTAGTAGTCGTCGTCGTCGTCGTAGTATTAGTTGTAGTAGTAATTGTAGTTGTAGTTGTAGTAGTGGTGGTAGTAGTAGTAGTAGTAGAAGAAGTAGCAGTAGGAGGCTCCGATTACGTCGGTGACGGTACATTTTCGTGGTGTCGTAAGCCCCAAAATGCTGTGATTACCAGCACTCGTGGGTTTCAAATGCCCTCAGTTCACCTTCTCTTTTTCGGGGCTTCTCTTGTTGAACATGTTTTCAGCGCGCGGAAGCTGCAAAGTCTGCATCGTTGATATTGGCTCCAGTCAGAGTCAAGGATGAAACGATCCCTTGGATATAAATAAAATCAGAACTCCAACCATTGGACTCATGGGGCGTGCCTCGGACTACTGGGACAATGAAAAAATCAAGTAGTGGTACTTAGCTGTAGCGGTGGCGATAGCGCTGCTGGTACTGGTAGTAGCAGTGGTGGCAGTGGCGGCGGTGGTGGCGGTAATTACTAACTAGCTGGTTTGAGGAGGAGAAATTCTAGAAGTGGTAGCATCAAGCCGCCACGGCAGTGGTTGTTTTTTTGTCATCTTTGTTATTAGCCGTGGTCGTGGCATAGCCGTTGGAGATACCAGCTTGCGGTACCAAAAAAGAACATTTCAAACAAGTAATTAGTGGCATTTGGTCGCGGTAGGGTCCCCCCAGGCATTGGCAGACAAGCATTATACGCCAGCGCCTGTTCTGGTTTGGTGTTTCCGAACTACTTTCGTGAAAGTTTCTTGCAGCTTACTGTCTGAGTCCACATCAACAGGCATGATTGTGGAAGCCAAAAGTGGCAGAAGGGCCCAAAGGCTCGGTGTGAGACCTTGAGATGCTTGCAGCAACCAGAAAGCCATCGCGCATGCGACATGTGTGGGGGGCTACCGGGATCCTTAATAGAGTAGCAAAGAATGCTTCTGTAAGCACAAAGTGCTGTAACTTCTCGCTGGTAGGTACCGCGCGAAGCTTGCAGACCTTGAGGAGGAGGAGGAGGAGGAGGAGGATGGCGAAGGAGCATCAGCCTGTTGCGGCACAGAAACGCACGGGCGCTTCTTTCACACGGCCAGGGATTAACGCTTATTAGTCCGGGAGTTGAGCAGGGATGCAAAAATGATCTATCATCCAGAAAGCACAGGGATGACGGCTGTGAGGTTGTGGGGCTCTTGCTGGCTTTTGCTGGCAGCCACCTTGTCTGCAGAGATGTCCGGGATGCTCACTTCCGGCAAGTAGACCTGGGAGCGTCGGGTCAGCACACTCACCTGCATCAGCTACAAACGCATGCTGCGTTATATGCTATGAAGCGTGGCCATTGCTACAAAAAATCAGGGACCATGCACGGTTCGCTTGGATGTTGGCAAACATAACTGGGCGCCGCGCAGCAGCATCGAGCGCCACTTCTGCCAACATCATGGAACACTGTCGCCA